CAAATTTGTAATTGAGTACAGTTATGACTGTTTTTAAAAACCAGCACCGTTTTTCTGCATCGCATCGGAATGGGCCGATACTAAACCTCAGATATTGGTATCGGAAGGGGAAATAGTGGATCGGTGCTGCCATTATCTGAATCTAATCAATGTGGCTTTCCTTAAATCAAGAGTTTTATGCGACTCCTCCAAACCTGGACATGCAGAGCAAATGTTATGTCACATTGGTTTTAATTTACATCACATGACGATAATAAGCCTTTACATCTTCATAAAAACCTCTGTAGCTTATTTTTATGTTTCTCTCCTAACTGGAAAAACCAGCTGAACCAAACTGATTCCCAGTAACACAGAACTCCCCCCATGCAGATCAGCGTCTCACTTGTCTACGGGGAAGTCTGCGCCTCCCTCCGGCTTGTCCTCGGCGGGCTTCTCGAAGCGCCGCTCCCGGGGAGGTCTCCGGTCCGGCCTCTTATCCGCGGGTCGACCTTCGCCCTGCCCGCCCTGATGCTGGGATCCGGACTGACCCTGCTGGTCCGGTCTTCTGCCCACCCGCCTGATTCCTGTAAGAGATCAAACGCTGTAAGCACTGATGTAATTATTGTAGATTGTCAAAGTTTTTTTGGGTAGATAACACAAAGTTTGAAGAGCTCCGCTCCGGACTAGAAGCGGGAGCTCTTTTTGCAGCAGGTGTGTATCTTTCACATTTGCTTTGCAAAGCCTGCAGCAGCGGCGCGTGCAGAAGCATCACCCAGCTCACCGTAACCCAACACTGCACCTTCCACTCGGATGCTAGAGGGAAGCTTTATCTGCGACACACACAGCCAGGCTGCTCCGAACTTCAAAGCTGGCTTTACCTCTACATTTAAACCCACCATTCCTCAGACAGGCGCGTGAGGCTCCCCTGGTAGCCGCCTGTCCTCTAATAACAACAGCCCAGGGTCCATGTTGACCTCCCAGCAGCAGCTAATGCAGCTAAGCGGAGCCGCACATGACAGTTGGAAATGAGACTAAAAATAAACCTTAAAGCAACCACGGCAGCCACATTTTACCTTCTTTCTTCAGAGGAACCGGCGCCTGAGACTCCTCCTTTTTGTCTAGCAGAGGATTTTTCCTGTCCTTCTGGGACTCCTTCTTCGGCTGCTTGGCGGCTTGAGCCGCGGTTTTCGTGGACCCAGCGGCGGCCCCCTCCTTCTTCTTGTTTTCCGCTGCTTTCAGGACCTCGAACGGGTCGGATTCGTCGTCCAATAGCTGGTCGAACCTGTTGGTTACGACGCAGCCGAAGCCTTCTTGCAAGTGTCCGGGCATGATGGCGCCCCTTCGACGGGATTCACCTCCGATTCTACGAGGCTTGATGCGACCGAATCGCTGGATGCTGCCACAAGATGGCTGAGAGAGCTGCCCCCTTCTCTTCCGGTGCGAGCATCATCCGGGACACCGAGCAGCGCGCGCCACTCTGAGCACGCGGTGGAAGCCGTGTGTTTGTTTACAATCGTGACGAAGTTAATTCCCTCTCCAAAAAAGTCCCAGTTTTAGTTACGCTTAGCAGGTTATCGTTAAGATGAGCGGTGCTAGATGTAGGTAATAATTTCTACCACCATAAACATACAGATTTACAGATTCCATTTTGATTATTATAACATTGTCTAGGAAAATAACAAATATAACAAAAAGTGTTTTATTAATATAAATAAATATGTTTCTTTGTTGATGCACATTATAAGAATAATCCGGAAGTATTACTTCAGCGCCTGCAGAAACGAGCCAAAAATACGGGTGCAGTGCGTCCCGTCGTCACGAGCTAAGGGTCAATAGTTCAACTAATGATTTAGTTGGATTAAAGTGTCTTAGCTGTAAAGTGAATTTCATTTTGTCAAACTTTGAAGAAGTGGTCTGTTTATTTTATAACAGATACTAGTGTTAACGGTTCAAGATAACACACTAGTGCTGAACCTATGAGTAATTATTATTTTAAGACCTTGACCTTATCAGGCAGCTGTCATAAATAACTGAGACTGAACTCTTTAGCTATGACATGTTTTTCTGTAAAGAAATGGTGCACCAATCAATCTAAATTACTAGTTTTATTAATAACTACCATATGCAGTTATAATAATTTTTCATGGCCAAAGTTAAACCTAGTACATGTTTGGCTTATGAGGTCTACTTTCCAACAATTCAATCAAATACGCCCCTAAAGTCATAATTTTTAACTTGCGTTTTCCTAAATATTTCAAATAAAAATTACATTAGATTCAGGAAAATAAACATTTAATGAAGTTCAATTTGCAGAAGTTGTAACATATTGCATGTTTGATATGGTAAAAAAAAAATCAAGACAGAAAACCCTTTTTTTTTAATAAAAACTTCTACTGTATCTCATTGAGATACTGCTGATAATGTTCACTGTCAGCGGTTTTCTTGCTCAGGTTTCTTCTCACTTCTCTCTCAAGCTCAAGGAGTTTTGAGAAGAAGACCTCAGTCATTTCATCATCAAGGTCCATCTGGAACACAAGAGCAAGCACAAAATTCTGACTAGATTCTTGAATGTGGGAAATGACATCATCTATGCAGTTTAAAATTTTCCAACATCTTTCCTCTACTCCAACATTTTTCCATCAACTACTCAATAGATGATGGAAAAATGTCATTAAAGAGGAGGCTGTGCATTAACACTTTACCCCTTTTACAGCCTCCAAGAGTTTTGTGCTTTATAGGGACAAATGTTATTAAATGCAGTCAGAATTATGCAAAGACAACTGGCATAATTGGCTATGGAAAGTATGTTGGTTTTCTCTGCAGCTCTCTGAAGATCATTTAACCAAAGCCATCTATCATGAAAAAAATTACAGTAAAAGCCAAACAGGAAGGCATAACTACAAGTTTTAAAGTCATAATAATGAGTGTAAAAGTCATTATTTCGACTTTCAAACTAATAATTATGAGATTCAATGTCAAAATTATGAGATCCAAAGTCATCATTTTGACTTTCAAAGTCATAATCATGAAATTAAATCAGTAATGATATTCAAAGTCAAAATTATTACTGAAAGTTGAAGTTATGACTTTCTATCTTTCACTTACCACTTTGAATCTCATAACTATGACTTTTTATTCATGTAATTATGACTTTAAAACTTGGAATTATGACTTCCTGTTGGGTTTTAATTTTTCGTTTTATGGCCAAAATGGCTTTCCGTAGTGTGCGTATATATTTTGACTTAATTGGATTAGAGAAAATCTACATTAAATTCAAAGTTGTGCAGCCAAAACGTGTTTTTTTAAATTTTCTATTAATTGAAGTGTTTGTTGTATAATTACATTATAACTGAAGTTTGTGCACACCAACAACGAACTTGACGGCCATCTAAAGCAGAACCTGCCTAGGACAGATGTTACTGACCCTGCGTGGCTCGGTGTAGTTGGTCCCCAGTCCGGATGTTAAGCTGTGGTACTTTGCTCTGGGATCCAGAGACTCTGGCTTCTGAAGAAACAACCAGTGCTGTGACAGACCAGAGCAAGAGTTCGTGTTTACGCCGCGCCTTAAACCCACTCAGAGGGATGTGTGAACGTGGAAAACCCCAGCTGGATACAAACCAGTGCCTCGGCTCCGTTGTACGGCGTAAGCGTAAAAGTGTTGGTGAAAATCCGGATCTGCGTGGCGAGACGGGGAGGTCGTCAGACGCGGTTTGAGGTTGAATTTTGATGTGAATAAATAAGGAGCAAAGCGACCCACCAACCACATGAAGGGCATGATGAGAGTCCAGAAGAAGGAGGGCAGGATCCCGTAGGTCAGGTTAGTCATCACCAGGCCTGGACAGGTCACAGAGGAGAACAGCCCCTGTCACAGAGAGACAACGTGTGCCGTTTTCTGAATCTTAAACCGAAGCTCTGTCGCAGAGCGCCAGACGCACCTGCTCGTTCTTGTGTTTGTTGAGCGCCATGCTGAGCATGTCCGAGGCGTATTTGGAGGAGCTGTAGGGCTCCTTCCCTTGCTGGTGCTGGATGTCCTGGATGCTGAAGGCCGAGCGCCGGGCGTTGCTGGACGACGTCCACACCAGCCTGGAGGTGTGACCCGGCTGACACAGCAGAGGCTCCAGCTCCCTGATCTGGAACCAGGACGCAGAGGATGGAACCGTTACACAGCTTTATTTAAATTTTATTTTCTTCCTTATTATTATTTTTTTCAGTTTATTTAAATACACAGCAAATTTCTGATGTTTCTATCCCAAATTTATATTATTATTGATGGATAATAAATGTTATGGTCCCCATTATCAGCAGCTGGTTAAGCGCCATGCTTAACTCACTCCATTTAGTGTGCAAACACTTGTGTGTAAGATAGATTAGATAAAATGCTAAGAATAGAACATGTGCTACAACTAGCATGTTGATTAACATTGATTTAGGCGTCAACAATAATAAGATTTATTAATAATGTATTTTAGTTGTTCATAAAGTTCCTCTGCTTTCCTGAACTGAAAGTTCCCTCTCATTAGCAATTTGAATAGCCTTATAAAAAAGTTAAAATATTCCAAAAATATGGTAATGTATTTTGGGTCGTGCTCCATCAATTCTCAGGTTCTATGTGCCAGGACATACAAAAAAAAAAAAGAAAAAAAAAGCGATCTGTAACAGATTCTAAAATCTACAATACCACAACGTATGCTTTTACGGAACAAGTTTGTAAAATGACAAACCATTCGCTCGTTTTACCTAAACACGACATCTTGTCATGTAACAAAAGTACAGTGTGCTGGATGATGGGGGCTTTCTGCTGCGTACCAGGAGGAAATGACCAAACAGGTTTGTAGCGAAAACCTCCTGAAGGCCGTCTGAGTTGAGCTGGTCCTGCTGCGTCAGCAAACCCTCAGCCGTCGCAAACATGTTGATGACATTCCTGCGACAAAGACAAGACCAAGGTGCTGTAAAGGTTTTCAAAGCAACCCCGACATCAAAGCTCATTTCAGATCTCTACCTGGAAAAGAGACCTTTGAAAAACGCCCTTATATCCACCGTCGGATTGGGCATAATTCCTGCGTTCAGATACAAAAAATCCACGCGGTGGTACCTGTAGCAACACGCGACTCAGCGTCAAAACCTCCACCCATCTCAGTAGCTCATTGATGAAACTGTCTCATTTACCTGGCCTTGAGTTCCTCTGCAGCACTGAGCACAGATTGCACAGAGCCCACGTCCAGGTGCAGCAGGTCCACCCGCGCGCCGCTGTGAGTCACCAGCAGGGCGGCACGGGCGGCCTCAGCCCGCTTCATGTTCCTGCAGGCCAGGCAGAGCCGCAGCTGGCCGTCCTCGGACAGCAGCCGGTGACACAGGGCCAGGCCGATGCCGCTGCGGAAACGAAGACCGGCTCACTTTGATTCCATCGATTCAAACACTTACAGTTCACAGAGAATCTCACAGTAAGCATTAATGCTGGAATCTGAAGGTCATCTTCTTCCACCTCATCCTTCACATCCTCCTCTGGTACATAAAATTTTTGTCATGTCACAACCACATACGTCAAATGTCTAAATCACATGGGCGGCATTTGTTTTTAGCTCCATTTTGGCCTAGTCCACCGATGTCTGGAAAAACTACTACATTTTTATGACTTTTTTTCCTTTATTCTCAAAGTTGAGAAAACTGTATTTGTGATTTGTGTTTGTGTGTGTACATGGGAAAACAGATCTGGGGTCCCATATGTTACAGTTAATAATCAAACAGATCTGGGGTCCCATATGTTACAGTTAATAATCAATGCGCCAATTTATCCACATATTGTCATATTGTCTTGTGTTTTAACAACTTTATATTCTAATATGCTCTTTAAAAGTCGTTCAATCTATATATCTGTCCACACAAGTGAACCTCCTCATGCCATTTTTATTTCCTAACAGGAAGTAGTTGTTGTTTGAAGCAATCTGATTGGCTGGTGGGTTTTAGCTTTGCACTACACTGCCCCCTATGGGTTTGGAATGTTCAAAACAACGCTCATGGATGGATTTGTGCAGATTCAAGTGGATGAAAACTCTTCTGGAATCGATCCGCGTGTACGGTGCTATTTTTTTTTTTAAATCATGTGGCGGAGATATTTGTTTTTATAAAGACTCAGCTACGCCAAAATTAAATCCAGTGCAACAGTTAGTTGTGCACGAAATCCAGCTTTCATGGAAGAGCGACAGTGTTAAAAGAAAGCCTCTAAATAAACATTATGATAAATGAGTCAGTGGTTCTACATTAGACTTTTTGAATTGTAGTAATTTCTTACTCATTTTCATAGATCTAAATATGTCAAAAGTCATAACATTAATAAACTTACATTTACAATTATTTTATATAGATGAAAAAACATGACTTCTTGTTTTCAGAGCTCATTATTATTTTTGCTTGTATTTTTACAGCATGAATTATAATGTAGAAACATATCCGTTTTATTATTTTAGGTAGCTTGTCTTTTTTTTCAAACTTGTCTGAATTGACAGTTTACTAACAATATTGTATTAAATTAAAAATAACATTTTCCTTACGAAAGACATGTTAGTGAATATTTTATCATACTTCTATTTAATTTTTTTTTATTTATTCCCTTTAAATGTGTCAAATTATCATGATTTCATGCAATAAACTGTATAAAATCATAAAGTACATGTGACCTTTTCTTTTAAATGATTTTATTGTTTTTAAAAGTCTTGTTGACCTAATATAAGAAAAGCACTTTTGATTGTTTTGGTTTTTTAAATAACCGTGTGTGTTTTTAGCATGTATGCTAGCAAATGGGGTTTCTGGCTAATTGTTTCATCAACTCTGTTCCCTTCGAACTCTGTTATTAAAATTAGAGTAAAAGAGTTGACGTTGTGCAACTGTCGAGTAATAATTTTAAAAGCTAATACACAAAATTAAAGCATGAATAAATAGATGCATTTTAATTTATTGCCTAAACTGTAATACTACATTCAGTACAACCACAAATGTTACTTTAAATGGGCCACAATTCCCTGAGAATCTTTCTTTGTTGTAGATTATTGTTTTTTTCCTCACACATTGTTATGCTATCCACAACAAAGTTGATGTATACTGTTTTGTAAAATCGCTTTTCGTGAAAAAATTTTAACAAAAATATGTCGCTAATGTTTGACTATTGCAGATTTATAAAAGTTTAACATATATTCTGTAGAATACTTTTAATAATCCAATTTATTAAGTCTCTTTCACGTTTTGAATTGTCAAATGTATCTTGAATTATCAAATTACCCCTATTAAAGCTTAGCGGTATTATAGTCAGCTTATAGGTTTAGATACCTTGAACGTCTCACCAGGTAGAATATTCTCTCTGAGGTGTCTAGCTTTAGCATTGCAAGTCAATTACTGAATTATTAGTGTTAATGCTACAAAGAGAAACAAAAAAAACCTACTTTTAATTTGTTTACCAGTTTTCAGTTCGCTCACCTGTTTGCTCCGGTTACTACTACAATTTTCTCCATGTCCGTTGGAAATGAAACAAAAAAATATTCAGAAAAACTCTGAAAGTTTGTTGGTATTCACCTTCTGTGCAGCTGGACGGCCCATGGTCCGATTTTACTAAATATCTGCCAAATCACAAACTATGGCGTGATTGGATGACAGCAGACAGCTAGCCAATCACCTTGCCGCTACGGCAGGTCCAGAAGTCCAAAACGTCCAGAGAGCGCGGTTTAATTTAAAGGAACCACATCCAAAAGCGGAGTCGCCTCGAACCTGCCCTCTGCTGTCTCCATGAAGACAGCGACGACACACATTTACTCATAGTTTTAACTATGTATAGGAATCTTTTTGTATAAAAAGTCACATTATTTGGACTTCTGCCTCTCACATCACGACACCTGGATGTAGGTGACATCTACGTCCAGGTGTCATTACTGAACAAAGCTGAGTTCTACTGGAAACAAACACATAAATATATATCCAAATGTGTAAAGAGATTTTATTGGTACACTATAAATAGAAACAATATAAAAAGAATGTAAAAATAAATACATGTATGTGTGGATGCAGTGTGTACACACTGCTTATTCCTTATAGGAGCAGTATTGGGTTTTCTTCAAGACTACAGTAATCTTATGTATCTGTCACTTACAGCATCACAGACTTATACATATATATACAATTTTCTTTGTTTACATCGAGTCCAAAGTTAATTTCAGATGCGTCCACATAACAAACAGGAGGCTTGAAATTTCAGGTCAGAAAGAAATTATTGTTTTTGACATGTTTAGTAATTAAAAAGAAAACTTTAAATGACCTGATCTCAAAACAGTTCTATGATCCACTATCCTGAGTGGATAGGAAAGATTGGTATATTAATACACAAGTTCCCTCACCAAATGAGGCATAAAAATTTGAAGACAAAAATACAATTTTGATATCCATCTTAAAAAACTTTCAGAATATAACAAGCCCCCTGTAAAATAGCATAAATAGCAAGTCTTTCTAACAGTATGTTTTTGAAATCCATTAAATTGAAAAGCATTAATGAAAATAAAAGTTAGACAAAATAAACATCCTATCTCATTCTCATTTGATCAAGTGTCATACCTGATAAGTCAATAGTCTGTCAAAAATATTTTTTCAGAGAATAACAAATAAAAATTCCACATATTCAACATTTTCATATATCCCAAAATATTTGTATGTAGTTTAAATCTAGTTATTTTCAAACCTTTCAAGCAATCAGATATCCAATTTTTGTAATTCAGTGTTTTTATGGTATGCCAGTTGGCTGCCTATGACTGAAACAGTTTGTATGGAGCTAAATTGAGGCCATAAAGTTTGTTCAGAAGAAACAAAATATTTAGCCTGAAAATATGTCTTAAACAAAAAAAAGAAACTGAAAAATTATTTTAAAACTGAAAAACAAAATTGAACCTAAAAATAATGTTTTGAAACTGAAAAAAATTTTAAAATGGAAAAAAACTGAAACTGACAATAAAGATATGAAACTGGAAAAAAAGTTTTCAAACTGCAAAACAGAATGTAAACCTTTTTTCAGTTTCAGATTTTTTTTCTTTTGAACAAATTTTGTGAACCCAATTTTGCTCCAAAGTCTGTCCAATTAATCCAGAACTGACACTTCCAGGCAGTAATTAACCCTATAGAAGTTGTTTGGTGTCTCATCTGCTCTCCGTCAGCTGGGCGTGTATCTCCTGGAAGCTCGGCCTTTCCTTAGCGTTTCTCCTCCAGCAGCTTAGCATGAGATCGCCATAAATTCTGTCAGGACAACACTGAGGTTGTGGCAGGTATACCTGGGAGCATAAAAAAACAGGGCAATTATATCACAAGCAAGACAGGCTATGTTTAGTTTAATAATAGCTAAGGGCATGTGTAGCATAAAATAAGACAGTACAAACAGTGTAAGCGCCATACGGAGCTTTCAACCACTAACTTTTTCACACGTTGTCACATTATTATCAGAATCTATTATATTTGATTGGAAATATTATATTATGGTTAAAGAAAAGCCATTTGTGCAACATTGAGACAGCAGGGCTAAAGATTCCAATGTATGGCCATTGTAGACAGAAAAGAAAGGAGGAGTAAATTACTGCCAAGAAACTCAGAAATTTTGAGATTAATCTCCAAATTTATCTAGAAAATCTCTAATTTTGAGCTTGAAAAGTCAAAAATTGCAAGAAAACCCCCCAGAAATTCCCTACATTTCTGAATTTCAGTTTTTGGAACGTTTTTTTCTAGAAAAACTGAAATTTCTGAAATTAATCTCAAAAGTTCAGAGCTTTTTTTTTTAATTTTTTTTTATTTATTTTTTTTCAAAAAATTTTGACTTTTGGAGCTCTTTTGGAGACTTTTGGACTTACAGAGCTACCTCGGGGCCATAAAGTTTGTTCAAAAGGGGAAAAAAATTGAAACTGAGAGAAAAAAAGATCTAAAACAAAACTACTTTTTGGATCCAAGTTTTTTTCAGTTTGAGTTTTATTCTTTTGAACAAACTTTATGGTCTTGATTTAGCTCCATACACATTTCTCAGATATTAGTTGAAACAAATCTAAACACCATGTGTTGTTTCCTTTCCAGTCAAATGTTTTTACCTGCTTTGTGTAGATTTATCACCAAAATGCCAAAAAAGAAAATACACTAAAGTCCATGGATGTAAGCATTGAATAATTTAAGTTGAAAAATGAATACTTTAGCACAACACTGTAAATGCGTGTTCACCTGCTTGCCCTGGTTCCTGAAGAACTCGCCCGTGTTTTCGATCACCTGCTCGTCAGAGAGCTGCGAGTACGGCTGCTCCTTGCACAGGGTCAGGATTTCCCACAGAGTCACCCCAAAAGCCCACACATCGCTGGCCATGGTGAACTTACCCTGAGAGAACAGACAACAAAAACAGAACCCAAAGTGGACTCATTCTAGTTTTTAAGGAATCCAGTCCCGTTTCATTTGATCACTCACTAAAAGGATGCTCTCCCAGGACATCCAGCGAATTGGCAGGACGGCTCGTCCCTGGATGCGGAAGTAGTCCCCTCTGTAGAGGTTCCGACTCATGCCGAAATCCGCTATCTTGATGGTGTCGTTCTTCCCCACCAGGCAGTTGCGAGTCGCCAGATCCCGGTGGACAAAGTTGAGAGAGGACAGGTACTTCATACCAGACGCGATCTGCATCGCCATGCCGAGCAGTTTGACGGAACTACAACACAGGACAGAAGAAGTATTGTACTGATTAAAGGTTCTTGATTCGTTTTTATGCATAAAAATGTGAAAAGTGTGGAGCAGTAGTGGCGCAGGTGTAAAGCACAATCCAAGTAAGGAGGCATTAGTCCTTGATGCGGCAATCACAGGTTCGAGTCCCAGCCTAATGACCTTTGCTACATTGTCTTCCTCCTCTCTCATTACCCACTTTCCTATCTGACCACTGTCAAACAAAGGTAACTAGAGTCAACAAAACATTTTTTTTTAATAAAAAATCTGGAAAGGGCAGCATTCTTTTGTTTTCAGCTGAATTTCCACTAATGCTGAATCCAGTGAAACTAATCGGTCTCAGAAATCATTTAAAGGGGCAGTATTGTGTACTTTCCAGGAGTCTAGTGCCATTTTATAGCATGATCTATGTCCTCAGTTGTCATAAAAATGCTCTATATATCAAATATGACTTAAAAGAAATTTTACTTTGTAATTTAATGCCTTGAAATTGGGCCTCTGGGACTTTAAAAACTCCTACCCATTCTGAAACTCCGCCTTCAGGAAGTCATCACAACACGGCTCCCCTACTAACCTTTTAGCAATGTTTTTACCTGTGATTCATATTTAAGTTCTCTAAGGAACTTAAATATGTTTGTGTGTCCAGCTTGTTTGCTTGTTATTTTTTTTCTTCAGTTCTGAACAGCTTGCAGTGCTTACATATTGCTTGTGTCTTCGCTCTGTCGCCATTCATCGTTCTTACTGGAAACCCAAAATGCTGCCAAACAAATGATTTGAAAGTAACTTGGGCATCTTCTGTTACAACTTCCTCAAGCAAAGCCATGGCACCCACAACTGACTAATGCTCACAAGACAGCAGTCACCTCAACAAGAATTATTGTGATGTTTTAATATCATGAGATCTTGTATGAGAAGATCTTGTTACACTCCTAAAATCCAGTGAAGAATGTGTGACAAAATACCAAAATCACAAAATCTATCAAATCTGACTGAGCTTCAGCTACATTGCAAGAAAAAACAGGCAAACATTTCAGCTGCTTCATGCTCAAAAGCTGGTACAAACAAACCCAATAGTTGCATACTTACCGTGTTTTCTGGGTAACTCAGATTTTTTTCATTGGTTAGCTGGTCTTACAGTCTTGAAAGACTTGAAGTCAATACTGACCGCCCTGATTTAGACCACAGACATCGGTGTGCCAGAAACTGCCTGTAGACTTCAAAGTCAAAGACAGCAATTTCTAGATGACTTATAGTCCAGAAAATACGGTAACTGCAGTGATAGGTAGTTCTGTATCCACTCAACGGTCTGAATACAGATGCACATTGAACTTTTCACTCGTTTCAATGAAACACATTGGTTTGAGGTCTTTACGTGACAAAGCCCAAACTGCGTATGAATCATTTACCGAGATGGTGCACTACCTGACTTCATTGCTCCCCTCCTGCTGGTCTGCCTCGCCGCCAGTCAGGGTCTTCAATCTGAGACTGCAAAGGAACTGGTTCAGGTCTCCATTCTCCATGTACTCCGTGATCATACACAGAGGGTCCGTGTCCACGCACACTGCCAGCAGGCGGACGATGTTGGGATCCCTCAGACGAGACATGATTCTTATCTCCTTCAGGAAGTCATTCCTGCAGCAAATTCACCAACTAAAACTGAGAACTGTACAGGTCAAAGATGGTTCTGTCGCTCTACCGTTCAGCCAGCAACTCTTACCTGGCGTTTTTGTTGGCGTCTTCCCGTAGCATCTTCACAGCTACGAGCAAAGGAGACTTGCTGCTACCTTCCATCAACGTATCCTCGCCCAAGAAGTTCTGCATGTCCTCAGCCTCGCACAAGTGCACCTGTGTGGAGGGAAATCAGCTCATCGGCCACTTTGGTTCAGGTCTTTACTTGACACTGAACAGAA